TCCCAATCCTCTCCTATGGTCATGAGCTTTGGGTAATGACCGAAAGAACGAGATCGCGGATACAAGCGGCTGAAATGAGTTTCCTCCGTAGGGTGGCCGGGCTCAGCCTTAGAGATAGGGTGAGGAGCTCGGACATTCGGGAGGGACTCGGAGTAGAACCGCTGCTCCTCCGGATCGAAAGGAGCCAGTTGAGGTGGTTTGGGCATCTGGTCAGGATGCCTCCTGGACGCCTCCCCGGGGAGGTGTTTCGGGCATGTCCTGCCGGCAGAAGGCCCCCGGGTCGACCCAGGACACGTTGGAGAGGTTACATCTCCAATCTGGTCCGGGAACGCCTTGGGGTCCTGCCGGAGGAGCTGGTGGACAAGGCCGGGGAGAGGACGGCCTGGAGCTCCCTAGTTGGGATGCTGCCCCCGCGACCCGGACCCGGATAAGCGGAGGAAGACGAGACGAGACGAGACGAGACGAGACGAGACATTTTTATTTGATAGGGCCTATGGTTAAAATCTGATGTTAGCCTAAATCTGGACAAGTGGGGGAGTACAGGGAGGTGGAGTGTACAGTCGGTAAAGACGGCTCTCCCTTGCCCTGCCTCCAACATGCCTACATCTAAATAGGATAGATTATCCAGAGTTATCTCTGTAGTTATGCTGCTATAGGCTTAGACTGCTCGAGGATACACTGACCACTTCTCACACTCTACTGCTTTCTTCTACAGTCTGCTCTTTAACTGTTCTATTTTGTGCAATTTCAGCTGTTAACTTTATTTTCTCTGTAAGTGTTTTTCTCCCCAGAAGAAGCGACAATGACGTTCTGCTGAGCTGTGGTGGCCTCATGGAGGGGGCCATCGACTAGCACACTGCTGCTAACCACTTAAACATTCTCTCTCTCCTGATAATAACTTTTTGGTTTCCTTGACTTTTGATGTGCTAATACTAGTTTATCCGTTTAATTATAGATCCACTAGGATAAATACAATAAAGTTTATCTTTCACCAAATAGAAAATTTACTAAGACATCATAATATAACTGTAGACACATTACTTGTCCGTGTGTGTGTGTGTGTGTGTGTGTGTGTGTCTGTGTGTCTGCTCTGTCTTCTCGATCCCCATTGAGTCGTGGAGGATGGCTGCTTATACTGAGCCAGGATTCTCTGGAGGTTTCTTCCTGTTAAAAGGGAGTTTTCCTCTCCACTGTCGCTTTATGCTTGCTTGGTATGAGGATTGCTGTATAGTCACTGACACTAGTCAATGACTTGATTCAATTTGCTGGGTTCCTTATATAGGAAACATTATTTCTGATTGGCTTAATGAACTGACCTGAATTGGAATTTTTATTATGTGAAGTGCCTTGAGACGACTCTTGTCGGGATTTGGCGCTATATAAATAAACTTGAATTGAATTGAATTGAATGAAATACGTATGTGGAGTAACCAGGTAGGTAGGTTTTAACGTTGCAAATCTGCAAAACCTGCCTCCAGAGGGTTAAGAAAACAAGCTGGAATTGGCCACACCCACCTGTTCAGGCTGCTATAAGCTGAGAAACTCTGATATCCAAGAAGGATATCCAGAGAAAAGCAGCTGCTTTTTCTGCATGTGTGAGAGGTGGTTCATTTCTAAATTCCCTGTTTGTGACATCACAAAAGGGGACTTTTTAACAGCTCGTTTTAGGTGAATAATTCTTAAACCAAACACTGACAAAATGAATGGACAGTTTCTTTTCACATTTGGAGTGTTTATAGAAGCAGTAAAGACTTACATCGCAGCACAAAAAGATGAAAAAAAAACAAGTTTTGTGCAATATGTCATCTTTAAATTTTGCAAACAAATTGACCCTCTGTAGTGAAAATCACTTTATAGCCTGAAAGCTGCACCAGTGGAAGGAAACCGAATCACCAACTATCTACAGCATTATTAGCTCAAAATGATCATTCTGAGTTTGAATATCCTTCAAACTAATCCCCAACAAAACAATTGGTGAACCTTCGAGTGACCTCATCCAGTTATGATATCTCATTTCCATTTCACTGGGGTGGAATTCCAGTACACCTCAGGGGGCTCAGGACCATTCCTGTTTCTCCTTACAGCACTTAACACACACACACACACACACACACACACACACACACACACACACACGCACATGCACACACGCACGCACGCACACACAAACACTACAAGGCTTGATTACCAGATCTCCCACTTTGCAGGAGGTGAAGGATCCTCCCTGGCAGCAATAACAAACCCCTCTGAGCTCCTATGATTGATGAAAAGCCTTAGAGGTGTTTTTACTTTGTCTCTACTTTTGTGAGCAAACTGATACCAAAGGTGACAGGAGAGCCAACAAGAGGGCTGGAAAATCCCACATCACATTCATCAACGAATAAAAGCTGCAACAACTTTAATGATAGGTGTTATTGGCACAAACTGAATACCAGATGTCTCCATTTACTGTACGCTCATAGATAATTCTGATTGGATTCATTTGCTTGGCTGCAGGTCTCAGAGAGAAGGCGAATGATTATCTTCTCACTGATGGAATACATCATGCCCAGAACAGTTGCTTCCTGATACCTGAGTGATCTCAGATGCTCATGTCTGCTTTTGTGAGGATCTTCCCTCAGGCTAGGAGGCTAGGCTATTTATAGTAGACTCATTGTTGTCGCTGTTGTGGGACATTGTGTCCTACTTACACAGGAGCTGATGTTACATTAAAGAAAGTGTTGATGTCATAACGCATTGATGGAATCATCCTCATGAGATGGGTGTGGCAGGATGCTCACCAATATCTGGAGAGATAGTTTTCCGGATAGATAGATACCTTCTGTGATTTTAGAAAAAGATGTGGCTCGAGACCAAGAGGTCACCTAAATCTGAATGGGTGTCTCAAGTTTAAGATGCAAATCGTTTGAAGAATCTTTCTGTTTGGGTGTGACGAACAGGAAAAATTAGTATTAAAATCCCTCAAAGCGCGATGGCCAGAGTTTTGCATGCGCAAGCTGGTTAAGGTTAGGATGGGGGTGAGGGGAATGTTAAATTGCAAGAGGATAAACGTCACAATTTGGTTAAATGACCGTTTTACGGCGGGTGTCAGTACCGACGCTCTGGCACAGCGTGTTGCCTCCCGACGCGCAGGAGCTCGTCACCTGCTGACAGCAGGCTGCTGTCTTTTCCGTGGACTGCATCTTGCCGGTCATTATCACGTGACAGCGACTAATCGATGACAGGCATAAAAAGTCACTATAGAGCGCTGAAGTCGACTAGTGACTAGTTCATACAACCCCTACTACTGCTCCCCAGAGTGTTCTGCAGCATAATCAGCACGTTCTCTTTGAACTTGAAATCAAATTTTCGCCTCCTCTTCGTCTCCGCACGGTTAAAGTTACCCTCGCGGTCTATCACTGGCAAATCAAAAGTGAGACGGATATGACACAACCGCCCCCGTACTTGCTTGTTACCACATTCCACCCGGCCACAATAAAAAAACGGTCATTATTCACCGACTCCGACACCGGCCAAAATATGATACCCGGCAGTTAATTAAATACAGGCTAATATTAGAGGATATATTAGAGGATTTACTGTATTTTTCATTAGGTCTGAGATCGTAATAGTGAATAACCCCACAAAGGTTTAGGAAATCTTCCACAGAAATCTGAGACAGGACTATATTAAGAGCTCATCTGAAGAAAGTGCAGAAAACACAGAGGTCTGAAAACACCTACAGACGTTTTAGATCTGTCTGCTCACCCATGCTGATGAAAGCTGACCAGGGTTACTGGTGGTTAAACACTGTGATCAGGTAGACAACAAGCTAGTGTTCACTTCTAAAGAGAGATTTTGTGGAGAAGCTAAAGAAAGGCAAACATCAATGCAGAACTCTGCAGTTCTTCCTAAAGGTGACAAGAGAACATGCTGGGAGTTGTCCTAAAGGCTCCTGATTGCAGCTCTAAAGTTCCCAGACTTATCACTAACATGTTTACAGTGGAGGAAGTTTCCTCTCTGAAATGATCTCATTGACTTAGCAGAACTCACAAACTCCTCGAGATAGCGGCCTGTCGCAGAGCTTCACATTTCAGCACAATGACACTTTTCAAAAGAGCTTCAGAAAACGGAGTCCATGTTCACAGATTCCTTCCCAAGAGGACATGAAACTGCTTTTATGTATAAACTGAGGAGAGTAAAAACCACCCATATAAATTAGTTATTGTGTTTTTGTGAAAAAAGGATGAGTTTGGGGACTTAAGTAGAAATAAAACACAAACATATGTAAATACGTCCCAACCTGCTTTGTTAAACTAATAAGTTGAAGTCATTATAAATCAAAATATAACAATTTCATGCATATTTAGCACAAGTTGAACAACAAAATAGTCTCTATAGTACAGCAGCAGCAAGCAGACCATTTAATCAAACACTGAATCAACACTCGCAGGAGTTGATGATCACCTAGGAAACACGGATGAGCAGCCTGATTCCTCCACATGAATTAAGCCCCGATGACTTCATACAACACACACACACTCACACACACACACACACGCACACACACGCACGCACGCACGCACGCACACACACACACACACGCACGCACGCACGCACGCACGCACGCACACACACACACACACGCACGCACGCACACACACACACACACACACACACACAAAATCAACAAGTAACCAGCTCTAATTGAATGGACTAGGCTTGTCTGTTTAAACACGATTACTAAATGAGGATGTTGGAGTGTGAGGCAATCACGATGCTCTCTGAGAGCTCAGGGTAATAACGAAACATGAGCAGAAAGAGGGGAGTGTCTCATTTTACTGTGTGTGTGAATGGACATGATGTTTGAGGAAAAAGATCAGAAACAAACCGTAACATTACACATTTTTAAAACTATTAAATTCATTGGAAAACTGTTATATGAAGATCAAATTACAGGATCTATTTCCTGATATTTGAGGAGAAATCTGTTCCCAAACGTGCAACAGCAGGCTCAGTACCTGCTGAAGTATCAGGTTGATCCTCTCCACCTCACAGTCAATGAGAAAACGCTTCTCCTGCCGGCGGTCCATCTCCTCAATGATGCGTCTGTACTCCGTGGGATCCACGATGTTCCCGACTGAGCGAGCCGTCACCTGCCAGTTATTGGCCACAGCCGTCTCCATAATGGATTGGAGGATTGCAAAACCTGTGGGGGAGAAGAGGACAGAACCTCATCACAGAAAAACCCTTTGAGATTTCTGAGCACACGCTTGGGAAAATGTGCTGAGAATCCAAACTGATGAGGGAAACGGGCTTAGGAACACGGTTAACTCCTAAGACTTATTAACTAGTTTGAACAATAAGAGTAACAATGAAGGAGGAGAGTAGATGAAGTCAGGGAAAATAATTCACAGAGCAGCTTAGTGAGACATGGCGAAGCAGAGGTGTGATAAAACAGGGCTGTTTACATTTGCACTTCCCAGATTAAAACCAGATTAAACAGGTAATGTACAGGAAGGTCATCAGAACAGGGTTCCAACTAAAGGCCACCCTCTCATCTTAGATTGAGTTTTTTTGTGCTTGCTAAATTCAATTGACTTAGGCAGCCATCTTGACTTAGCCTGGCCTGCCAGACTCATCCTCTGTTTATTTCTTCCCAGAGAAAGAGTCTGGTAACTCATAGGCAGAGAAGCACTTGAGGGGCGGGACTAGGCAGCTCAAAAATAACCAATCAGAAAAAAGACGAAAATGCTGACTGTGCCGCGCAACGCTGTAGTTTTTTAGCTGTAGTAAAAAAAAAGGCGTCTGGCGACAGAGCAAACATCTTTCTTTAGAAAAAAGGCTTTTAGCGCTTCTACTTGTTGTTTTAAAGACATGTCCAAGTCATTTAGAACAGAGGAAAGAGCCGCAGTGAACTCTGCTTCAGTCGCCATGTTTATGACAAACTCGGCATTGTGGTGTGTGACGTACGCTGCTTAGCGCTGATTGGCTCGGTTAGAATTCTCAGGGGGTGGGGTTATTTGAATAGAGTTCCCAGACCCTTTCTCTTTGCAGAATTAAACAGAGGAGGAGTGTGGCAGGCCAGGCTAATGTTGAATTGGCTTTACTTCCAAATGTTCATCAACCAATAAACTTCCCATAGTTTCATTAAAATCCATCCATCTGGTCGAGAGATATTTCACTAACAGACACACAGGCCACATCGGTACTGCACTCCTTTCAGCAGCAGGTGATTATAAATATGGTTTCATGTGTTTTTTCCCTAAAAGAAGCAGATTCAGGAGTGATGAGCTACAGCCGGGTTCCCCCAGTGCACAACTGACTAACAGTTGGGTAAAAAAATAACTTATTATGCAGGAGGTCACGTCTCACATTCTCCTCTTTGCTGCACGACACAAGAATTCAAATTCGTAGTTTTAAGGCCGAGGATTTACATAAAGCACACGAGGCTCGCTGTGACGGTCAAAGGAGGAGCAGAGACACTGCGCGACGTGTGATGAATCAGTTTATGAAAGGAAGAAGCTGAGCTGACTCTAACCTTGCTGAGCCTCATTACAATGGTGAGGAACTTCGAATAGCTCTATTAATAGTTCACTCAAGGCTTTTAGTGGTTGTCACGTCTAAATCAGCTGAAAGGAGACACAAGAACCAGTTTCTATTTAACATTAATAATACAAACCAGGACAGTTTGTAACATATGCATGTTCTCTGAAAATATGCTAAAGGAGGAACAAAACAAACTGGGTTTTCCTGATATTTCCACAGATAATTGGGCATATTTAAATATTTGGGGCTCACTAGTTGCACAGAAACAAGAATCATTTGTGTCTATCGGAGGATTTTCACTAAGAAGTAAGAGAAGCTCTGTTGAATCATGTAAACCTCATTCTGTGTGCGATGATGAACTGGACGAGGTAAGAGGCATACAACATTAAAATGACTCAGCTACACATCTGTGAAGCTGCTTCATTGATGAAAATAACCAACAGTGATGACCAGGTCCCAGCCGCTGTAGAGCTTCTCTAACAGAACAGTTTACATAAGCTAGCTTTCTATTACTGGTGGTATAGATTGCACAGTGTTCTGTTAATAATCTCTGCTTTACTCTTATTGGCTGTCTGCATTCTCTGTTTGCCCATGTAGTCTGATATTTGTGTTAGAAAGCATTTAAGGTTCGAGGTAAAGGACATCCAACTGCATTCCCAATATTCCTGAGGTCTGATTATACATTATCCATGGCAACCAAGGGAACTACTGGTCCTTGTTCTATGCATTAAACCTGTTCCCACATTTAATAAGTCTCCTGCTGGCATGGCTACGCTAAATGAAGAGATGTTAAAAAGTGGCAGAAGCACCGCAGGAGACAAGGTGGCAAACACAAACTATTTTTAAAATGTCTGAACGGAAAATCCCTCAAAATCAAAAGTAAAAGAAAAAGTCGGTACATCGGTGTCAGCCTTTGATACCATTGATCATAGCATCCTAATAAACTGGCTGGAGTGGTCTGTGGGCATTACGGGCCAGGCACTTAAGTGAAAAAGATCATACTTGACAGGGAGGAGTTTTTGTGTGAGGTTGGGGGACTGTTCCTCCGACCTGGCTGAGCTGCCTTGGGGAGTGCCCCAGGGATCGATAATGGCCCCACTATTTTTCTCCCTATATCTCCTTCCTCTGGGTGACCTATTCCGCAAGCATGACGTGTCATTCCATCTATATGCTGACGATTGCCAGGTCATTTTTCCAATTAGGCGTGGTGGTTTATGCACCATTCAACCTTTGTTGGACTGCCTGGAGGACATCAAGCTATGGTTGGCTCAGAACTACTTGTGTTTCAACAAAAACAAGACTGAAGTAATTCTGTTTACTCCACCTAAGACCCTAGGAAGTGCCCAAGGGCTTGATTTTTCCACACTGGCACCTCATCAGAAGGCGGTGGTCACTAACCTAGGGGTAAAGTTTGACACAGAACTCAGATTTGAGGCTCAAGTGAACAGAATCGTGAGATCTTGCTTCTTTCATCTACGCCGTATAGTGAAAATTAAGCCACTTCTGTCACGTAGTCATTTGGAAACTGTGATCCATGCCTTTGTTACCTGCAGGCTGGATTATTGCAACTCGCTATATGCGGGGTTTAGGCAAGCTCCAATAGCATGCCTCCAGGCGGCTCAGAACTCGGCTGCTGGGTTGTTAACATAGGAGGTCTGAACATATTACACCAGTCCTACGTGCCTTGCAGTGGCTCCCTGTCTCCTACTGCATCAGGTTTAAGGTAATCCTGTTTGTGTTTAAGGCGTTAAACTCAGGGGCACCTAAATACCTTTCTGACATCATCCACCGACATGTCCCGGTGCGTTCCCTTAGGTCAGCTGCCCAGAGACTATTAACTGTGCCCAGGTACAGCCTGAAGTCTCGTGAGAGTCGTGCCTTTTCAGTGCTCAGACCAAGTCTTTGGAATGAGCTGCCAGCCGACGTAAAGCAGGCCACATCACTGGAGACCTTTAAAAGCCGACTAAAAACACATCTGTTCTTGTTGGCGTTTGGACATTGAAGTTGGGATTGCGTGGGCAGCATCACTTTGAATGTGTCTGGATCTGATTCTGGAAAAAGGACTGATATGGATTGCGAACTTGTACTCGGGATTTCTTATTGTATTTTAAATGGTTATATGTCTGTTTTATTGTTGTGCTTGTTATTGGTGTACAGCGCTTTGTTTGTCCGTTTTGGGCATGTGAAAGCGCTTTATAAATAAAGTTGATTTGATATGATATGATTTAAAAAGTCGTCGCTGATCTGATGCTTTGCTGAACAGCAAGGACTGGATTTTCCACAATGCATATATAATTAGAAAGGGATTTAAAAGATGAATAAATCTTTAAATCTACTGACAAATGATTCTGAATTATTAAGTGACTCTGTGTGTGTGCAGCTCTCATTTAGCTGTTTAGAGGGTTTGACTCTACTACGGTGATTTCTGTTTGATTGCTGCTCCAGCAAAAAGGATGCAATTGGTTCAGTCACTTACGTAATAAACGTGAGTCGACATGTTCCCAGCAGAGACACCAAACATTCAGAGCACAGAGACATCACTGACATGCGCCCCCACTTCCTCCCACCACCCCACCCTTCCCCTGCTGGTGACCTTCACCGTAATGTGCCCAGCAGACAGCACTCAGATCAGGTTTGGCCTTTAAAGACAAGCGGCTCTCACTGTGTGTCGCCACATTAGTCACTTCGGGGTCTGCAGAGCCACAAGCGAGCTAAATTACATACACAAGAGGTTAAAGGTCATCATGTAACATGGGACAGGGGGTTCAGAAGTTTTTGGAAGGTTCCTCATCACATCAGAGACATCAGAACAAGAATCCTGATGGAGGCAGAGATGCTGAGTGTCTGAGAGTCAAAGCAACACCGCCTCATTTTTAAACGTTAAGCTATTGTTTTCAAACTGGGTTCACTTATTCTTGAGGCAGAAACTTTGAGCAACTTCAAGGCACTCGAGGAGTACAGACACTTCTCTCTTTTGCTCCCTTATCTTTTTTTTCCCAAGGCACTTTGTCCTGTATGCCCACAGAGCGCTTCTCTGCATTTCTTCTGAAAAACTCTATTTTTACTAACCATGGATTTGATAAACTGGTCATGCGATCGATAAGAGTTTTTCAACAATGAAAACGGAGCCGGGGGCTCCCACATGTCCACAGGGGACACACCCAGTGGGGTATATTTTGGATTCCTGGAAGGAGTGGAAGATCATATGCGTCAGCCAGCTGTCCATTGAGGATATCGAAGACGTGTGGATATTCTGCCTGATGATCACTGGATTTCTCTTTATTGGAGTGGGAGGATATCTGGTTTTCTGGAAATTTGGGAAGACGGGAGCGATTGGAGGGCGACCCGCACCCACGGAAAGCACCGTCCGTGTGGAGACTTCTCAGACTGGGACGTTACTCGAGGTGAATCATAAGCTGGACAATGTTCTAGCTGCGATACCGGTATTAGTGCGCAAAATGGATGTCATCTCGGAGAGTCACCGGATGGTATGGAAAGGTTTAAAAACCCAAAATTGGCTTCACTGAAGGACTGGAAATGATCAGTTTAAAGACTGAAGGCAGAGAGGAAAATTATCTCAGCCTGACCAAAACAGGACCCCCCGCCTTCGGGGACTTCTGCCTGGCAAGGTCATCAATCTGTAGGAGTCAATGTACTCTT